ATATTGTGGATGAGTTCTTCTGTGTCATCACGTTCTATTAGTTCTACAGCTTCAGTTTCGGAACTTTCATGCTTAGTAACACATACAGCTGTTCCCTCAACACAGTGCAACAGTGAAAACGGACCCCTTTCAAACGGTGTCGCGTTCCGAACGTTGTTTAAGCGACATACACCGGTATTGCGGTATTTTAAAAATTCATATCATAACAAAAATAAACACCGGTATTTGGTATGAACCATTATACCGCCCAGCACTAGTGTTCACTTTCATTTAAAGCTCATTTTATTAAAGCTCATTCATTTAAAGCTCATTCTGATTTGACTTTTGCTGTTATGCTGTTACAATAATTAGTGCATTTTTTTTTTGCATTAAACTAGATACATGCAAACATGTTTTCACTAGTTTTCAAAGACGTTTGAACCCATGCATGTGTGCATTTGTGCATGCATGAGACTGATCTCTCGGTATGTGCTCTCCATCCTCAGGAGAATGTGTCTCTGGCTGATATTCTGTGTCTGCGGGACGGTGGGCTTTCGGAGCAGGAGTTGTGGGCGGTGTGTGTGGAGTGTGTTTGTTCTCTCCAGAGCATCGGCCTCTCGCCGCTCTTTCACACCCTCTGCGTTACACCCGACACGCTGGCCTTCAACACTCACGGTAATGTGTGCTTCATGGAGCAGCTCAACGGTGAGTCACCAGCTGCATGAGTCAAACTAACACTCAGCGCTCGCATTAGTCGCGAAACATTGCTTTTAATGCCTGTGTCTAATGGACGGTTTTGACAGACGTGTTCTTTTGAAACCGAGAGCGCTCTGTCTTCTTCATAAGTATGATTTTTCATGTGCACCTCACATGTGTGACACGTTGTGCCATTGTGTAGATAATGGATGCATTCGTTTGCATAATGATTAACAGATACGACACCCTCCCACGAGTGTAAAAAGCATTAACTGGTATTTATGATTATTTCACATAGAAGGAGGACACATGTATTGAATTGTGTGCACCAATTAATTTGATCACATGGCTACTTTAAACAGCTCCATTAAGCCTTTAGCCCAAAAGAGCGCATATTTAGAAAGATAATGATAAATTCTCATGTTCACGCTAGAGGTCGACCGATAGTGGATTTTACCGATACCGATAGCTATAGGTTGGGCCACACTGGCCGAAACCGATTAATCAACCGATAGTTTTTAAAATAACTGAACGAAAACTAAAATAGTGTTTTACTAATAAAAAACAGTACTGAACCATACTTTGTACATGAATAACAGTATTATTAAATATTAATCATATATTGATCATTAAGTTAATTAACTAATGTTAACAGAAGCAACTTTAAATTTAAAGAATGTATTAGTAGATGTTGAAATTAACACACTCTAACTAGTTGGACATCTTTAAATCTCTACACAAAGGCAATAGCATTGAAATTACATACATATGGATATTGTATGTATACTCTCACACTTATATAATCAAAATAACAAAATATGGCAGTTGCACACTGGGCAAAAAGTGTAGCACCGCGCCAACGAACAGCCAAAGGCGTCAGTGATTCCGCCTCTAGAGGTCGCTCTCATACTGTATAATGACGGCGGAGCTTCTCAGCCGCTCCAGCAACGGACGCAATCCGGAAAACTATCGGCATGGATCTTTGCCGATAGTTCCAGCAATCAACTATCTGTGCCGATTAATCGGCAAAACCGATACATCAGTCGACCTCTAGTTCACGCCTAATTTCTTTACTGTTAATTTAATGTTCAACTAAATTATGCGATCTGAAGTTTTTGAGCGTTCTCTCCCATCTCACTGCCGTCACACATAGTGGGGCAGAAATGTCATCAAAATTATGATATAAAAAAAATTTAAAAAAGCCTTTTAATGAGTTTCTGGTTTTATAAAATATACCTGTGATATAGGACTTAGCTTATCGCACAAGCAAGAGTCCTGTTTTTCCGAATATCTGCACGATTGCAAATGTACAATAAACAACATGTTACTGAGTAACTTTCAGACACAAAATTCAGTTTTGCTCCATCGAAAAGAAAACGGAACAAACAGCAGAAGCACTGCGTCTCCAAGCAACACGGAGTTTTGTTCCTGAGCGTTACACGGAGCTGTAAATGATTCAATCAGGCTAAAAGTACAGTCGTTTGCAAAGTTAAATGAATTATAGCTTTTTAAACAAACCGGTTGATTTAAGGATTCAACTCATTCATTAAGATAGTCACTTGCTCCCACCTACTGGCGGTTGTAGTTTCATATTTAAAAAAGTAGCTTATTATTGCATTTTTGCAATAATTTAATATGTCTACAATTAAATGTTATATTTAAACTTAACAAAAACGTAACTGTGATTTCATTTGTTTGTTAATAGCTAACATGTCTTTTTATTCTGATTGAATTTATTGATTCAATTTAAGAATCTGGCTTAAGTGGACACAGGTATGACAATACATTTTTATAATACTAATACTTTTTTTTGCTCAGTGTTATTTCAGGGTTTTGAAACATAACCTCCAGCCCAGGGGCCCCTGACGCCTTAAATCCTGCCCTGTGTACTGTAGATGAGTTTGTTTCTTCATCAGGTTTGGAGAAATGTAGCATTGCATCACTTGCTCTGAAGTGAATGGGTGCCGTCAGAATGAGAGCTGATAAAAACATCACAATAATCCACAAGTAATCCACAGCACTCCAGTCCATCAGTTAACATCTGGAGAAGACAAAAGCTGAAACACATCCAGCATTAAGACGTTTTTAACTCAAATACATTGAGTCCATAATCCATAATAACGCTTCCTCCAGTGAAAAAAACAAAAAAAAAATGTATTTCTCATTGTTAATGTTAGTTAATGCAGTGTTTCTCAACTGGTGGGTCGCGGAGTGTACAGTCAAAGAAACAACATCAACAACAAAAAAACGTAATTCTAAATGATTTTCTGATGCAAGACTTTTATTTTGAAAGACATGCGTGAAAGCTGTTGACACTTCTATCAGATGCAGTTTAATAAGTCAAGAGTTCCTGAGAAAAACGCACTGTCCTGATTCAGTATCTGCGGTCAGATGAGATGTTGTCAGGCTTAATGTCAGTCTCATTATTCTATCGTTATTTTCGTAACTTGTTACAAAATAAAAAGTCTCTCACCTCCTGAACTACGAACTATCCTGTCCTGTCAGATGTTATACTTTGCTCGTAGCGCGCGCCGTATATCGCTTCACTAAAGTGCAAAAGAAACTATGAGCATGCAACGTGTGAAATAAAAGTACAGTACTAATAAACCACATAACTGGTGCTTCATGTGTTAGCTGGGAAGGATTTGCATATATGATATCAATTCTATTCAGGAGCAGTTGTCATGTTTCATTAACAATTGTTAGTATTGTGTATACACCATGGTAACTGCTGTTTCCATAACCCAAAAATGACATGTTATTTTCACTTTGTGTTATTTTGTAGATGGTTAAATGACTGTGCTGGCTCATGCCAACTTAATTGTATTAACAAAAACTAGTTTTTGGTTTGTTTGTTTTTTAATACAAATTATATGTATATATAATTTGTAAAAACAAAAAAAAACAAAGCAAATTTATTTCACAAAAATTGTGGGTTTGATGACCATGGCCAAACCAGTTGAGAACCACTGAGTTAATGCATTAACTAATGGGACCTTATTGTAAAGTGTTACCTGTAAACTTACTGTAAAATACCATCAAATGTATGGTTTTCACAAGTAAAAACTATGAATTATCATATAGTTTACACAGATCTAATTGCAATTTCTATTTGTGATTATTAATATTTATTATTATTATAACCATCAAATCAGAAATTTTTAAATAATTGTAAAATAAAAAATAAATTTTACATTATTTAAATGTATATAATTATTATTATTATTATTATTTTACATAAAAACATTAAAATACTATTTTTCTCCTTTGCTTTCAGATGTTAAATCATAGAGCTTTTATTTTTGCAGAAAACTGCAGGGAAACTTCTCTTTTCAAATGTTTCTTGTTTGTTCAGATTTATAAACGCTTCTCATTATGAACTCGACAATGAAAACACTGTCATCATGAGCGGCTCACGTGAATACATCACGGCTCGTCAGATTACATTTTTATATGATTACAATGCAGTCTTTGTGATTTGATCAGTGCGCTAAAGCACACTGTTATAAAAAAGTGATCAGCCAACAGTGTTATATATACTCGCCAGTGCCGATTTTTACTCACATCTGGCGCTTGGCGAGTGTTAATTATAGGCCCTGGCTGTTGAACAAATATCCTGTAATAGATGAAACATTGTCACTGTATGTCTTCCAGTGTACCGCTTCTCTAAGCCTGTGAAATCACAAATGTAAGTCCAAAACCATCAAGAAGAAAGGTCTAGATCTGCTTCAGGTTTCACAGGTGAAGATATGAATGAGAACTATATAAAAGCAACCAATGGTTTCGTCCTCTAGCCCATTTCTCAAAGGCCACACCGCATGCTGTCTAAATATACCGGTGAGCTCCTGCGCCGGCGTAACGCTGAGGAGTTTCTGGAGGATCTGACATACTCCGGAGGAGAAAGCCTGACCTATTTCAGTCGCCGAGCTCTGCAGAAGCATCTGGAGGAGAATGTGAATCCTCAGCGTGGCCTAGTTAGACTAGGACTCACTTACTTATTCACAGAGAGAAAGCAAAGTGATTAAACATCACCGCCAGAACGTTTGATCGTGTCTGACTGCTCTTTCTGAGAGAACTATTATTAGAGCCACATGCATCTGCGCATTTGCTTTCATGCACGTATTATCAGTTTGTGTGTTTTCTAGCTCTCATGAGTTTTTGCAGGTGGCTTTTGCATGGAGATGCATCGCTCACATTCGACTGTGTTTGTGAAAGTGTAAGAATCTAGTTGGTTTCTCTTGTTTTGTCCTTGTTCTCAGATGATCCTGACGGCTGTTTTGTTCCTCCAGAGTTTGATAAGACTGGAAACACGTTTGAGGTGAGAAAGCATGAATCCAGGAGCTGCTTGAACTTGTTATGAACCTGTGTTACAAATATACGGTCGTACTGATAACTTATCCTGAAAGACCAACACAGAGGGCATGTACAAAAAAAAAAAAAAAAATCATGTTAATTGCATTAGACACCAAGGTTATTATATTAAACAAAAATAAAATAAACAAAAAATACAAAATTTTGTTACTTGAAATACATGTAAAATAAATGTTGAAATAAAATAAAATAAAAAATAATGTATTTAAAAATAAAATAAAAATAATGCATTTAAAAATAAAATATAAAAGCTTATTTATTTAATCCCATTTTCACTTGGTTTAACGTGCTAAAATAAATGAAATACAAATTTATAAAAACTTTATAGACATTTAAAAAAATAATAATGACAATACATCAAAATTACTAAAACTTTAAGTAAAATTAAAGTTAAAACAGAAAATACAAAAATAAAAATAATAATTCAAAATATTAAAATAAACTATAATAGTTTCTCGATGCTAAGCGCGCTTTAAAAAATATATATATATTTTTTTTTTTTTAAAAATCATGTTAATTGCATTAGACACCAAGGTTATTATATTAAACAAAAATAAAATAAACAAAAAATACAAAATTTTGTTACTTGAAATACATGTAAAATAAATGTTGAAATAAAATAAAATAAAAAATAATGTATTTAAAAATAAAATAAAAATAATGCATTTAAAAATAAAATATAAAAGCTTATTTATTTAATCCCATTTTCACTTGGTTTAACGTGCTAAAATAAATGAAATACAAATTTATAAAAACTTTATAGACATTTAAAAAAATAATAATGACAATACATCAAAATTACTAAAACTTTAAGTAAAATTAAAGTTAAAACAGAAAATACAAAAATAAAAATAATAATTCAAAATATTAAAATAAACTATAATAGTTTCTCGATGCTAAGCGCGCTTTAAAAAATATATATATATTTTTTTTTTTTGCTTGTCATGTTAATTGCATTAGACACCAAGATTATTATAAATAACTAAAACTAAAACCATGAAAAAACATTTCTGTTACCTTTAAAAAAAAAACAAAAAAAAAAAACGAACCAATAAAAATGTCAAAAACACACCAAAATTACTTAAACCTAAAATAAAATTAAAATGGAAATCGAAAATATATATATAAAAAAAAATAATATTAAATGAAACTATAGTAGTATCTTAGTGATATTAAATAAAAAATAAATTATTAATTGTTTGTCATGTTTATTGCATTAGACACCAAGGTTATTGTTAATAAAACTAAAACCATTAAAAACTTAATAAACTTCTTTTATTTCAGCTTATTTCTCATTAACTAACATAATGTTCTAAAATAACTTAAACTGAAATAAAATATTTTAACTAATAAAACTGACAAAAATACAACACAATTGCTAAAAATGTTAGTAAAATTAAAATGATGTATTTTTAGGAATATTACAGATCATAATATATCTATAATAGGTAATTCTGGAAGCGATGCTGCTGAATAACCTGTGATCTGTCAGATCTGGATTGGGCTTTTCTCAGATGCACAGATATGATATTATATGAATCATGAGCCCTGAGGACTGTGATCTGTGAGCCAAAACAACTTCAACTTCCAGCTATTTACACACACTAGCACAAAGACCTTCATGCCATAATATCATATGCAAACAACCCACTGGCCTCTATGTTATATGTGGTTATAATCCATAACACTATACTGTACTAAACATCAAACGTGTAAGAACCACGAGCCAGAAAGACTGTAGGCGGCTTGCTTTTCTGAGATGGAAAGACCTTACGTAATGTTTCTTTCAGTGGGAAGGAACAGCTTTTTATTTTAAACACAAGTTGATATTTTCTGTGCGATTCTTTTTGTTGTTTGCCACATTTCTTTTTTTGATGGAAAGGCTGATTTATTATTGGAGGGTGACTGAAAGAGGCGTCAGCTTTGATGGATAGTGCAGACGGCTGCATGCGGACCAATAAAACAACTGATAAATGAGAAGAAAATCTCATCTGATGGAATTTTTTTGCATGTTCGTAACAATTTTAATAATATTTTTATTTGCATAATCATTAAATCATTTTAATTTTAATCATTTTGGAATTTGTATTTTATACTTAATATACTTATTTTTTTCAGATGGAGGCCCTTTTTAGCATGTTTATTACATAATTTCATAGTTTTTATACTTTTATATTTTTTGCAATTAATGTTAATTACATAATTTTATACATTTTGTAATTTTAATTTTATACTTCATGTTTATACCTTTTTTAAGATGGAGGTAGTCGTTTTCTTTTTCTTTGTTTTTGATGTTCATAACATAATTTTAATAATATTGTTTGCATGTTCATTACATAATTTTGTAATGTTAATTTTATATTTTATTTTTATACTTCATATACTTTTTTTCAAATGGAAGTATTTATTTATTTTTTATTTATTGCATGTTTATAGCATAATTTTAATGTAATTTTTAAATTTAATTTTAATAATGTAGTCATTTTAATTTTATACGTAATTTTTATAGTTCATATGTATAACTTTTTTTTTAGCATAATTTTATTTATTTATTTGCATCTTCATTACCTAATTTAAGTAACTTTGTCATTTTAATTCTATACATCATATACGTAATTTTAATGTTCATGTTCATTGCATTATATCATTGTTTTGTTCATTTAATATTTCATTTTTAGGGTGACTTTGTTACATTTTGTCCTCGGACTACAAAAGAAAAATAGCCTTTGTTTTATTTACTGAACTAATAAATAAAATAAAGAAAAAATACATTTGCATTCTTTTTTGTACAAAAAAATCAGATTCATAATGCACAAGATGATACGTTACAACTTCATGTAACCTATTTTATCTAGTGGACCAAATGCAGGTTTGCAAACTGAAAATATTTAAATGCTGGCAAGAAAATATTTGTGGTTGGCACAAAATGTTTTTTTTCTGTGTCTCTCTCTCTATCTCTCTCAGGGTCACATGTTCTCGTTAGGCTCCACCCTGTGGGCGGCGCTGGATTATGTGTCAGAGCTGCAGGTGGAGTTGAGTGAAGAGAGCAGGTGTTTGCTGAAGCAGATGCAGCGAGAGAAACCTGAGGATCGACCGCGACTCCAGGTTCAGCACAGTCTAGTCAAATACTTCTCATTGTTAATATAACAATAATTTACATACATTTTATATTTACATTAAGTTAAACTAAATGAAAATAGTAATGTTGCCTTGGCAACTAGCTGAAAAGGGGGGGTACAATGCTGTTTCATACATTCAGAGTTGTTTACACTGTTAAAGAGTTGGATTCTCATGCTAAGCATGGAGACAGTTTAAAAAAACTATTTAGTATTTCTTTGCCAAAAATCTTACTTCCGGGTTCGTACAAGTTTCGGAGAGTTTTTTTCGATCGTGGCTCTTCATGACGTAAACGAGGGTGGAACTCCTTATATGGGCATTTCTCCCGAAAAAAACACGCACGCATCGACCAGAGCGAGATCGCGTCCATCAACGCGCTTCGTCCGGCGGCAGCGCTACACGGGACTTGCTCGGGAAGAATGTCTCCAAAGAAGTGTGTTTTTGGTTGTAAGGGAAAGATAATTTTGTTCAGCTTCCTAAAGAACCCAGCGTTCCCTCTCAAGCTTTCACGAGACATCACAAAGACATTTCTCCGTTATGGGAACTCCTTCCCTTCCAACCTTTCCTGAAGTTCTATTGGCTCACGCCATCGTGGGGTCCCGGGAGGAAACGCCACGGCCAGCGGAGGAGCCCGCGACGTGACTCTCGCCTGCTGCCGGCTGCTAAGCCGTCGTCCTGACGGTCTGAAAAGAGAGCTATTTCCTCCTCACCCAGTCAATGCGGTGCCGCTCGCCCCGCCTCAGAGCAGTGCAGAGCCGCCGCCCACACACTCGCCGGCGCATCCAACGACCAAGCCGCTAAAGCCGCTATGTCAGTTCCTGAGCGTGTGGAAAACTATTCCGGGAATCTCGCGCTGGTTACTCGGTGTGATAGAGCGTGGGTACGCCCTTGAATTCAGACGCAGACCACCACGTTTCAACGGCGTGGTGAAGTCTCTAACATTGCCTTGAAATGCCCTGAACAAGAGGTATGCAACCTGCTCGAAAAAGGAGCGGTAGAACGAGTCCCTCCGAGTGAGCTGGAGAGCGGGTATAACAACCGCCATTTTTATGGTGCCCAAGAGAGATGCAGGACTCCGCTCAAATATTTGGATGACTGGCTGATCTTAGCTCAGTCACGGGACACACTATAGACAGTCATATAGACAAACTGTTTCATCACTTGGAGTTCTTGGGGCTATGTGTGAATGTGTGTAAGAGCATTCTCACCCCAATCTCAAGCCCCTTGGACGGCGTGGACTTCGGACCGTTTGCACATCGCGGTTTCCCGCGGCTGCATCAAAGCCCTGAGGCCGTGGCGCAAAGATCTCCTCAGCCGGAGGGTTCCCCTGGGCTTGATGACGTCACATGTCGTGGTTACGACGGACGGGGTTCCCCTGGGCTTGGTGACGTCGCGCGTTGTAGTCACGACGGATGCATCGACTCGCGGCTGGGGAGCAGTGTGCGAGGGCATGCCGGCTTTGGGGCTGTGGTCAGAACCTCAGAGGCGGTGGCACATAAACCGTTTGGAGCTGGAAGCAGTGTTTTTAGCTCTAAAGGATTTTCGGCCGCAGCTGGAACAGCGACATGTACTGATTCGCACCGACAACATCTGTGGTGTCGTACATAAATCACCAAGGGGGTCGTACAATCCAAGGCTCGGTACAAGCAGGTAGCGAATCTCCTGTTATGGACGGACCATCACCTTCTCTCCATCAGAGCAGCGCACATCCCCGGTCTCCTGAACCGCGGGGCAGAAATGCTTTTGAGGAAGGGGATTCCTCAAGGAGAGTGGAGGCTGCATCCCGAGTCGGTTGCATTCCCCGCGTCCGCCTTCACTTTCGCCCTGGGACCTAGAGGTGGTGTTAAGAGCTCTTTCACAACCACCATTCGAGCCTTTAGCATCCATTGCTATGAAGGAGCTATCTCTCAAACTGCACTTCTTCTTTCCCTCGCTTCGGCTAAGTGCATAGGGGATTTACATGTGTTTTCTGTGGACAGCGATTGTATTCGCTTCGGACCCGGTGACTGCAGCGTCACTCTCCTGTCGAGACCGAGCTACGTGCCTAATGGCGCTTTTCCACTGCTTGGTACGACTCGACTCGGCATGGCTCAGTACGGTACGGCACGGCTCGGTTTGCGTTTCCACTACAGTTCAGTACTGCTTTAGAGTGGGCGGGATTCAAGCTCTCGCTGGATCCGCTCCTCTGCTATCAACGAGAGGAACGTCTGTATTTCCTCAACAGACCACGAAACAGCCACTTTTTGGTTGTTAAAAAAGGTGCGCTTGTTCAAAACAGTTGCGTTCGATCCTTCGCTGGCTGTGCTGATTTAAATCTAGCTGTTCTGTTGTGTTTGTGTTGCAAGTTCAGTGACGCAGGTAGTGACGATTCTCTCCGGCCAATCCGTGATCAGCAGAGTTTACAGGTGACGTTTTGGTAACGGTACTGTTCACTTGGAACCTCAACCGTGGTGGTACTAAAAAAGTACCAGGTACTGTACCCAGTGGAAAACCCCCCAAAAGTGAACCGTACCGAGCCGTACCGTGCCG